AGTGAGGATAAAAATAGAAAAAAAGTGAAACAGTAAAAACACAGTAAAATAATATTAAATAATAATAATAATAATTAAAAACAAAATTATATATATATATATATATATATATTAGAAGAAACAAACATGACAATCCAAAACAAGATAAACCAAACAAAACCAGACAAACTAGGACAAAACAAACCAAAACAAAAGACAAGGAAAAACAAGACAAGACAAAACAAAACAAAATAAAAAACACAAAACAAATAAAAACAAAAGTAAAACACACAACAAGACAAAAAATGAGTGTGAGCCTCTGTGCTAAAAGAACACATTTGTTCAAGTCTAAGACATGGGGAAATAATCCCTTACCTCCAGAGAGCCAATAACCTTTCTTTAAAAACACAAGCTGACCTAATCAGTGATACACTGTAGAGACTATGGATTCAAAAGCCTCACTGAGCATTTTCTACCCCTCATCCTCCATTGTATCCAGCACTTCTGATATATTCTAGTTCAATGTAGATATAACATATCGCAGTGAGAGCTCAGTGCTTGGAGCAGCATCTGGTTACGTCTGGGTCATTAGCATTCTCATCAGCGATACTCAGTACAGTCCACTACAGGCGTTGCTATTACAGAGATGCACATCACAAAAGAATGCATAATTACTGTTGTAATTAATGAACATAAGAGTGGCGCTTTTCAAAACAACAAGCATGTCTCGACCACAAAGCCTGGGGGGAAAAATTAACACTGGGTTTTAAAACATGGAAATGAACTGTTATGATCATTAACCCTGTGGTGGAAATCTTTCAAATCCACAAGCGATATGCAAGCCGTGGCCAGTTACAATAGATCATTTAGACTGGTACACAACAGCTCATTTAGAGGCCATGTGTCTGTCTATCTCGCCGACATGAAACAGAAGCACTTTGCCTCTCCCTCCGCTGCCAGACTAATCACTGTCAGGGCATGAAACGCCTCACTAACACTGTATAATCCAATTACTCTGAGGCTGTGTGGCTCCCACTAAATCTAAACAAGTTGTCAAAGTGGAAAGTTTGTCATTTCCTTTCTTTTTTCCCCCCTTTCACGCTCTTGTTCCCCTCACCCTCTTACCCATCATTCCTGGGCTCAAGACCGTGAGGCTTAGGAGGAGGAACAGTAATACAACGCGAAGAGGGAGATTACTACGAGCGCCATCATCTTCTTAACAATGGTATACAAAGTCTTGCGGTTCTCTGATGAGGAATATTCAAGCAGGACTTGGAACTTGGTAAGAAATAAGTAACTTTATAACTTTATTTTAAATGGCTGTTGACTGGATCTTAATTATTAATTGTTGGTACATTTATTTTTCATTAAAAAAATTTTAATTATAATTGGTATTACAAAATAAATATACCAATAATTAATAATTAAGATCCAATCAACAGCCACTTAAATAAAAATCAATCTTGAATAAAAAAAATTTATAAAAAAATCTTGTCATTGTCAAAAATCAAACTCAAAGATCTCTTCAGTATAAATTCTAATATCTACTGGGACCAAGAAGTTTACTTTAAGAAAACATTCATCAAAGCATACCAATAATTAATAATCAATAATTGAGATATATCCAGGATTAGTAAAAAAAAAAAAAAAAATGTGTAAATTAAAATCAAATATCTATTCTATATCAATACCAAAATCTATACTGGGATGACAGAAACAGTAAGAACACATCATCAAAACCATACCTACAACTACCACCGCCAGTTTTGTCTCTTCTTCTGTGGTATTTATAGGGATAAAATTATGTAGGACAAATTCAGGATTGGTCTGTCAGTGGCAAAATTTCAGTCAACAGCCACTCCAAAAAGTCAATAACTATTTACTCTTAGTTTACAAGCTCAATATGGATTCTAACACACTCAGACTTTTGCTCTCCTGTCTTCAAAAATGGCCGAGCCACAGTTCAAAGAGCCAGGAACTGAAAGAAATAAAGATTATAACATGTCTCTCAGGTCCATCTGTCCATGGCCTTCGTGTCTTCAGTGTAATGGAAAGGTCAATGTGATTCCTGTCTCCCACAGGAACAGAGAAAACTTGGGAACAGAAGTTCGGTATTAAGATAGAAAGACAAGGGTGTACAGGGTTCTCATCGACACCTAAGAGAACAAGAGGTTATCGTGAAGGTAACCCAAAAAAATGACACCAAGAACATCAGGTGCATCAGTGCATGAGAACAGGACCATCATTCTCACTTGAGACTGAAGTTTACGTAAGTCACACCTGATCACAATCAGCACCTGATACCAGAACTCAAGAGTGTCACTGAATGAGAAAAAAAGAGTGACAGAAAATAACAGAAAAAATAGAGAAATGAAAGGCCAGAAATAGAAAAGCAAAAGGAAAGAAAAATAGATAAAGATAGAAAGAGAAGAGAAGAGAAGAGAAGAGAAGAGAAGAGAAGAGAAAAAAGAAATGTGACTGCAGTCTATGTGTCATCACTCTCCCACAATCTTCATTCTAAAGAGAAAACAGAAAGGAAGCTGCTTTTTTGAGTGCCTTTAGAAGATGCTGTGCATTTTTATGATGGTTCAGATTTGGGGCTCTAGTACTTGATCTCAGGGGGAAGCGTCTGTGCTTGAGAATGTGAACTAGTCTGAAATGACAAAATGCTGTCACAGTCAGGAATAAGGGAAGAAGAGATGAGATCAAGAGGAGAGCGAAAACACAAATGATTAGGAAAACCTCATCTACCTTAATGAAGATTCTCATCAAGGGATTACATTATCTCACACCGTGACCACAGGAGACACCGCAGCCCCTGGCAACCAGCCGGCTTGAGCAGGGAAGCACACTGAACACTTAATACCAGCTATTTCAGCAAAGCCAGGATGACTGTGCTGTAGGAACACTTCCTTATGAATCAAACTGCATTGGTCATGCAATATACCATACTGTCAGGGGAACAGTAGAAATATATTTTTTTATTCTGTAATAACGCATTAAATTGATCAAAAGTGACAGTTAAAGCCATTATACGTCATCATGATTTCCACACAATTATTAAGCAGCACAACTGAACCAAATCAGCATATTAGAATGATTTCTGAAGGATCATGTGACACTGAAGACTGCTGCTCAAAATTCAGCTTTGCCATCACAAGAATAAATTAAAAGTATTATTTCAAACAGTTATCTTAAATTGTAATAACATTTCACAATATTAGTTTTTACTGTATTTTTGATCAAATAAATGCAGCCTTGGTAAGAATATAACCAACCCCAAACTTTTGAACGGCATATATACTGTTGTTTTCATTTAAAGACGCATTCATTCTATATCTCTACAGGACTACAAGCTGAAGCAAAGGCTCGAAATAAACAAAATAATCTGTTGTTAGCTAGAGTGTGAGGTGCTTGTGCTAATGAATGCCGAAAAAAGAGGCAATACATGTGCACACAGTCAAACCCCTCATCACACTGCAGTTAAATGCATATTTTGACTTCTGTAGTCACCTCGCGGAAAGATGCATCTCATTACTTAGGGTCTGCAAAGAGCTCAGCAGGGCCTTAGCAACAGTTGACAGGGCCAAGCTTGTTTTTTTGTTACCACTCTCTACAGACTGCTTTGAAAGGAGTAGTTAAAAAAAAGACAGGAGGAAAGTACAAGGTCACAGTTTGACTCTTCACCCTGTTTGATGGAGTGATGACCCATTTACTCATTTCCCAGCTGCACCTCCACTCCCATCTCTCTTTCTCTCCCCTCATTCTCCTGATTCCTGTGTCTATGACTGGATCCTCTCTAGCATGCAGCTGATAAACAATGCTTTGAAAGAGCACACATGGAATGAGAATCAGGGAGAGAGAGAGAGAGAATGTAAAGAGATGGAATTATTTAAGGGAAGAAAAACAGTGAATACAGAGAATAATATGGACATGAGAAGGTTATGAGGTCTCGTTTTTTACAACGTCTTTGAATCTGAATTTTCAATTAGTTTGACCATCTGTACCTACAGCGGTTTTAAAATTGCTTGTGAAAATAATTCTAGATAGATGCGAGTCAACATTGTATAACACACCAAAAGAACTATTCTCCATTTATGGTTACTATTAAGAGGGAAAACAAGATATGATGTGAGGTTGTCACATTGATCTTGGGAATCTAGTGAATCATGAATCTAAATTGCCACTTGAATCAAACAAGACTGGCTTAACTCTGAAAACGAATTGCTCAATTGCTAAAAACAAAACAAAACAAAACACAACAAAGCACCAAACAAAGCAAAGCACAAAACAAACCAAACATGAATCTAAATTGCCTCTTGAATGAAAGAAGACTAGCCTAACTCTGAAAACTAATTTCTCAATTGCTAAAAACAAAGCACAGCAAAGCACCAAACAAAGCAAAGCACAAACCAAACCAAACAAAACAAAACAAAAAATAAGTGTAAACATACAAATCACATGAGATAAAAACCTGCAGCAGGATTTCCAGCAGGTGCTTTTCAAACACACAAACAGACACTCAATGTTGGACCTCTTGAGAGACTCTCAAAGGTTACATGAACAGCTGGCAATCTCACCTGCCTCAAAACACACACTAAAAAGTCAACATTTTCCCCATTAACATACTCCAATTAAACATGACACTTGGGATGAAATACCGAACTTTTACAGTCTTAACAGAAGAGTCACAAGAAACAGCTAATAACGTTCTGTTTATAAGTTACCTGTAAATAACAGTTAATAGCATGTTTCTGCTTTGAATAACAGCCTGAGAGACTGAAAGTCACAGCACTGGGTTGTTGCCAAGGAGTTGCTATGACTTATATGTTGAAGAAGGTGCTTCCAATTGTTTTTAATACATTGCTATGTGGTGGCTAGGGTATTGCTAGGTGGTCAAAATAGCCTCTAGCAAAATCCACTTTTACATATTGTATATATTTCACTGCAATCTTTTAGATTCCAAATATATCATCCAATTTGCTGGATCTGCTTTACTGAATGACTCTTCAGGGACTGACCTGTAGGACGGTCTGGATCTTGGCATAGACATCAGCCTGCTCATAGAGTTTGATCCCTTCCTGGGCTCCATTGGGAGAGACGATAATCTGCTGTAGGTGACTGAGAACCACACTGTGAGCCTGGGCCACTGCATTCAACTTATCAAACAACAGCTCAAGCAGTTCCAGCAACAACCTGAAGAGGGTGATAGAGAGAGAAAAAAAACTCAAAAATGGGTATAAAATAATAAAACACTAGGACTATCAATAGAATAAAAAAATCACAATCAATTTCTTGATTTCTAACCAGTTTTCAGATGCACAATGAAATGGTAACGGTATCAAATGTGTTAAAATATTTCATTAATCATATTATTAGAATTAGGGTTCATTCAAATTTTACAGCCCTAAAATATACATTTTGCTAACCTTTTATGTTTGTCTGTTTGTTTGCAGAACCCCCAGCACCCCCTTGTGGCCCCTGGGGGTCCTTGGACCCCAGTTTGAAAACTCCTAATCTAGAAGCTTTCCAAGAAAAAGCCACCATTGCAGTCAGTCTGGCTGTCAGAAATCCCTCTACATCACCAAAAGCGAGCCAAAAGTGGTCCATTCTCTGTTACTAATGAACATGACAGCAGCAGGGTGCTGACAGAATCTCCCTGTTGAGCAGCGGCAGCTGTTCACCAACAACAATTAGCAGCATCTGTCAAACTCTCTGGGTCCTCTAGGAGGACACACATCTGTCTGACTTTTGTGGAGTTTACTCATTCGTCCCAGTAAAATGAGGCAGAAGAAAACACTGGTCGGTGGAATGAAGAGGTTGGAGGTGACAGCATGATGTAGGGTATTAAGAATGCTGGGAGGTGGACGGCAGGAAGATGATGGATGTTCACGTGAGAGACGGTGCATGATGACACATGTTAAACCTGATTTACAGAGGACAGGACATGACCCTTGACTCAACATGTAAACACATATTATACAGGACGACACTTCTTCATACAAGCATTGCAGAAAGCCAACCCAAAGCACACTATCTACTTACACACATCTGAACCAAGAGGTCAAGGTTTGTTGGTTGATGTCGTAACTGGATGGATGGATGGATGGATGGATGGAATGAATGAATGAATGAATGAATGAATGAATGAATGCTCTCTTACATGATTAGAAATACTGTACACACACATATACATTTATATATGATTATCTATGTCACTACAATCTATGTCACATCACGCCTGGTTAGGACAGCATGTAAGACATACTTTTCACTGTGAACTGTAAAGCCGCAGTGACTTCATTTTTCTGTTGAGGTTTCCATAGAAACGGAGCCCTACCTCAACTTTCACGTTAGCACAGACACAGACACACAAGTAAACACTGAAATTGCTCTATGGTTAAAATGGGACCTTATTTTCACTCAGGTCATTTGAGCCTTTTCATGTACAAAACACCCTGGCAAAGATGGTTTACCTTACAGGAAACAGATTTATGAACTGCCATATTAATTCAGCAGTTATTTATCAAGGTAATTACATTTAATGATACATTAGTAAATTCAGAAGAAACACACACATATATACCACACATATATAACCATTTCTCAAAAGAGTTTGCGAATAATGGAAATTTTTCTTATATTACTAAAGTTTCCATGTCATAGCTTTCAAAGAAAAGCCCCGTTTATTTCATTAAAAGCACAAAATGAAAAGTCAGTGGATATTCTCTCACAGAGAGAAACATTAAAACCCAGAGAATTGCTGTGGAAAAATAAGCGATTGAGAGTTCATTTTAGCCTTGGGTAAAGAGTGTTTCTTTAACAGCCTTCATTATCTGTCTTTTCTTTTCTTTTCTTTCCTTGCTTTTGTTTTTCTCCATTAGAGCCAATGCTTAAGCAGACACTGGCTGCCGCTCGCTTTTATGGATTACACCATTTCTGGAAATGAGGGAGGTATGAATGCCATATATGACAGATGAGAGCATTGGTCCAGCAAGCCATCATCGGGTAAAGTGAGAGAGCGAGAGAGAGCGCAATAAAGAAGGAAAACAATGGAAACCAATCACACTTCAGTACAAATGCCTTCCAAAGTGCTTCCCTTAAAAACAAAATTAGTGCAAGAGGGAGAACTGCTTCTAAAGTGACTGTCATTGGCAGTTTTTTTTCCTACATCTTTTAAGGACAACATGAAATCAAAACTGACCCCATTTACTTCTAAATGATTCTCTCCCTGTGCATGATTTGTCAGTGCATGTTAATGTAAATAAATTTGTTTTAATAATCTTCAAGAGCCAGCTGATCATAATAATAATCAATCAAGCGCCAACTGATCAAATCCAGTCTCGCCTTCCGTTATGTAGCTGCATTAGGAAGTATATCACGTTAAAAGAATTGCAAAGTAAAAACTATGGATGCTTCAAGCGATTGGAAACTGAGCAACTATTCAGTATGGCTGTGCATATTGCAGGAAATAAAAAGAATAGTTATATGCAGAAACTATGATTTTCATAAAGAAAAATCTGCCCTTCCACCTCATTTATGTGGTGGTATTTGTTCCTAAATAAATTCAAAGTTTTACAGTTTTACAAGAATTACAACAAATTCACAAATAAAAAATATGAGATTTGGAAATATGCATTAAGATTCACAAATGTTTTCTCATGTCTTGACAAAACAAAACATGAATTTCAGACTCACAAACACTTTTCCCAGTGTTCATTTGTGGAAATGCAAGCATTTATTTGGGCTGTTTGAATAAAATGTCTTAATAATATGTCTGATATGAATGTCTAATATGAAATGTCTAAATGATAATAACATTAAAAAAACGATTTTTTGTGCTTGTCTACATATCTTAACCATCATATAATATTCTGTCAGCCAATCAATCAATAAACTAAGAAACAGTAGTATGGTGTATGACTATAATTATGGATATTCACTGCAGACTGCCCCATCATTCCATTAGCATTTACCTGGGCTGGATGTCCTGTGCCAGGTTCTCTCCTCTCTGGTAGGCATGGTCAGCGATCTGAGTGGTGGATCTCTTGAGGATCTGCTTGAGCTCAGGCTCCAGACGCTCCATGATGGCTTTAATGGTTTCCGGGATCTTCTTGAGTTTGGCCAGTGCTTTGATCAGGATCCCCATGAACTCTGCACTGTTCTCCTCTGGGTCTATGTCCAAGTCCTCTCTCATTTCCTGCAGCTCACGTACTGCACAAACACACATGCACTCCATCAAGAACACTACAACAATATATAATTACAGCAGCATGAATGGACTGAACGGTTTATGGAACACCTGCATAAATATACAAGCAACCTTGACAGCAAACAGATGGTAGTAAAACTTTATGATATGGTTTGCTAATTGTTAAATCATTCAATATTACATAACTATTAAAAGGTCACTAATATGCATTCCAATTTGAATATATGAATAAATATGAATATGTACTAACAATCTGTTAAGATATTCATTTATTTATAATGACGTTTTCCTCAGAGAGATTTTACAGGTAAAAAGGTTAGTAATATTAATGTAAAGTAACAATAATATATTAATAATTAAACCCAAATTATAGAAAATCTACAGTAGGTTCACTTGAACCAACAATTCCTGGAATTTAAATACATTTCAAGTTATTTTTCACTATGTTTCAGGGTCACGCTTTCATCATTTCATAATCATTTCCTCCCTTGTCATCATGGCATCAGCACAATCCTTAAATAAACCTGCATTATGCACCTCTCCATATTCACCTGCTCAATGGAGAGATCGTACAGTGAAGTGCTTATTTTTCTGTCTGCTAATACCGTCCAATCCAATGACTGTTTAAAATTATTTTAATGTTTATGGCAAGTTAATGGGCTCAGGTTTTTCTTCTTTTCTCTCCACCAACTGTAGCTTGCTAAATAATTACTACAATTACCTCCGACAAATGATGCGCAAAAGGCCATTAGACAAAATAGGTGACAAAAGGGAAGCGTCTTCCGCAGCAGGGGAAATGTTGTCTGATGGCGTCACCCGATCACACATAAAGCACTGCGACAGCAATAATTGCAAGCGTTTCATGTAATGTGAAGAAAACTGCAGCTAGCGCAAGAATTTCTCAATAGTCCTGTGAATTAGAGACATTTCTACCTGCTTTAGCAAAATCAGCACAAATAACAATAAAAGGGTGAGTAATCATCTAAAGTGACAGACAGACAGATGGATGGATGGATGGATGGATAGACAAGCAGACAGATAAATAGATGGACAGACAGACGGATTCTATCTATCCATGGATGGATGGATGGATTGAAGGATGCACAGACGGATAGGATAGATGGATAAATAGCTGGATAGATAGATAGACGGATGGTTGGATGGACAGACAGACAGACGGAAGGACAGACACACAGATGGAAGGATAGACGGATAGACAGACACACACAGAGAGATGGACAGACAGATAGATAGACAGACAGACGGACAAATGGACAGACAGACAGGCAGATAGGGTTGTCGATAGTTGTACTGACGACTGACAGCATGTCTCAGAGGCAGTGTGGGAGAAACAGACAGCTGTGGGTGGCTTGGTGGGTCTGATAACAGTCTCAGAGTGCAGTGGAGTCGGCACCCCACACAGGAGAGCACGGATAACGAGGCCCACACCCCCGCTGTGCTGACAGCGCTGCATGATTAATAATGTGAGAGAGTATCTCATCTGCACCAGTTAATATGCTTACTGAAACATGATGTATTGAGATCATGAAACCTGAGAGTGCGTGTTCTTGTGTGTGTGCAGACACAGGTCTTTTTTAGAGGTGCGTGCAAGTGAAAGTGTGAGTCACTGTGTAATTGTAAAAGTGAAAATTGGTATGTCATTGAGTTTTGGTGTGTATATTACAATGATCGTCTCAATGGACATATAATAGGAGTGTGTGTTCATGCAAATGCTTTCCTGAACACACAGAACGCAATAGTTTCAAGTCTTTTCTTGTCTGTGGCAGCCCCCAGTGTTATATTAATAGACACAGTGACACTGGTCAGAAGTGTCCTAATGATTTAATTAGCACTTTGAACACTGGCAGACAATATGGAGCACCAGGCCCTACAAAATCACCTCTTGCTTCATAACAGCCAGGACACCTGCTGTTCCCTTCAGTACAGCAGAGAGGAATCTATCATTCAAATTATGAGCCACTAAATCAAGCTCTAATTCACTCGCTCTCTGCAAAAGTAGCACTCTATTTCTCTCGTTTGCTGGCTAATGGTCACTTTGTCTTGTCTTGTCTTTGGATGTTTTTTTGTCTTCAAGTTTTGAATACATCAAAATTTCAGCCAATTAAAATTTTTATGGCGGAAAAAAAAGAAGGTTTTTGGCCAACAGAGAAAATAGACAGAAAATCGTATCTAATAATATAAACAGAAACTGCAATTAAACAATGTACATTATATTTAAATTAGGGATGCACCGATACCGATACTGGTATCGGGCCCGATACTGAGCTCCTGTACTCGTACTCGTACTCGTTAAAATGCCCCGATATCAAACGCCGATACCACACAGCATGTGATAAGTGCCATATTCAAACAAAGAAACACCGACAACAAAACAACAGACAGCAGAATGGAGTTAAGGATGTCTACTACGAAGTATATGTATGCAATGAATATAACGTTAAACATTCAGTATTAACACCTGTATAGCTGATGTGCGCGAGCTGATAAACAAAGCATGCTGAGTGGATTGAGCGCGAAGCGGCGCAGATGCGCGAGCTTGTCTAGTGAATATGCCTTTCTCACAGACATCACTGGAAAGCTTGTAGTTCGGTCGGGTATGTCAAAAACAAGTAAGTAAAACAATGCACAAGTTACTTAACGGTAGGGAGA